TGTCATTTCCTTCTCCAATGCATGAAAGTGAAAAGTGAAAGTGAAATCACTCAGTCGTGTCTGACTCTTTGAGACCCCATGGACTGCAACCTACCAGACTCCTCCGTCCATGGGATTCTCCAGGCAAGAGTACTGGGGTGGGTCGCCATTGCCTTCTCCACCCAAGAACCCATAATTCCCATCTAATCATGAAAAAAAATATCAGACAAACCCAAACTGAGGGGCATTCTCAACTCTATAGAATGCACCATCACTCCTAAAAACTGTCAAGGTCATCAAAAACAAAGACTCTGAAAAACTGCCACAGCTCAGAGAAGCCAAAAAGGGTGTGATGCCAAATGTAATGAGGTCATGAATAGGATTGTGGACAGAAAAAGGAGATAAGGAAAAAACTAAGGATTCGGAATAAAGAATGAACTTTAGTTCATGGTAATGTATCAGTATTGGTTAATCAACTGTAACAAACGTATGCTGCTAATGTATGATGTTAATAATAGGGGAAACTGGATATGGGGTATATGAGAACTCCCTGTACTATCTTCAGTGCTTTTCTGTGAATAAAAAACTATTCAGAATTAAAAGGGCATGTATATATACAGATACATGTGCATACATACATGTACATATGTATACACACACACAAATACACAGATGACCCTTGAACAACATGGGAGGTAATCCAGATATAATTTATAGCCAGTCCCCTCCGTATCTGTCCTTCCTCCATGTCCACAGATCCAACCAATTGCAGGCCATGTAGTAGTATAGTGTTTACTACTGAAAGGTATCTGAGTATAAGTGGACCCGTGTGGTTCAAACACATGTTGTAGAAGCGGCAACTGTGTGTGTGTGTGTGTGTGTGTGTGTGTGTGTGTAGAGAGAGAGAGACAGAGACAGAGAGATCAAAATGGATATACAGGGATAGATAGATTATACACACATCTAAGTTCCAAGATAGCAGGGACTTTGTTTTTTTTACTACTCATATTGCACTGTTCTCCAGGGACTCTAATAAACATTTTTGGAATGAATAAATGAACATTTACATTATGTGACACTGGTTTTATTTCTTTAATTTCATCCACAAAAAGAATACAATATAAGCTATCACCTAACACCAGCCAAGAAATTATAAAACATTAACAGATCCACGCAACAAACATTTCATCTTTACTATAATCTAAACTCTGTGATGGATGTTGGGGATTCAAAATCACAATATACAAAATTCACAGTCTAATACTGAAAAAGAAAGTTAAGTACCTGGCCAATGCATAGATGACAAAGATAGAAATTGATTAAGTATCAGGGTCTTGCTTTCAGTACCATGGGAGCACATACCAAGTGCATCTAACTCTGCATGAGATGGTAGGTGGAGAAGGATTGATAAAGAAAGTCAAGTAGGTCCAAACAAGTTCTGTCTACGAGGTACAAAGCACAGTGATGGCTGGTGCTTGAAAGGCAAAGAGGACCAGACAGTCAAGGGGTCTAGGGAATCAGCAGAGGGTTTTAAGGAAAATAATGGCATAGAAAGATGGGTGGGACAGGGTTCAGGCAGAGTGCTATCAGTTGTGAAGTTGTGGGAGCAGATCAGACAAAGACGGTGAATTTAATCAGAGGGGAGAGGACAGAGTTAAGAACTATTTAGGCAGTAAATAGGCAGGTTTGAAAATTATTGAATATGGATGGTGATGCCTCTTAACTTATTTCTCCATTTTACCCCTTGCCATCTTCAATCCATTCCCCCCACAGCAAATAAGTTATCTTTTTAAAGCAGGGCTTTCCTGGTGGTCCAGGGGTTGTGAGTATGCCTTGCAATGCAGTGGACACTGATTCCATCCCTGGCCCGGGACGATCCTGCATGCCATGGAGCAATCAAGCCCATGTGCCACAACTACTGAACCCACACACCCCACAGCCCGTGCTCTGCAACAAGAGAAGCCACCACAACGGGAACCTGGGCCCTGAGATGAAAAGCAGCCCCTGCTCTCCGCAACTAGAGAAACTCCATGCACAGCAACAAAGACCCAGTGCAGCCAAAAGTAGCTAAATACATAAATAAAATTATGTTTGAAAAAAACATCACCTGCAAATCTTGTGAATTTTATTAAAAAAAAAAAAAACATAAAGCAGATCATCTCACCCCTGCAATTAAAACCTGCCAATACCTTCACATTAGATATTCCGAAACTAAATTTCTCAGTGTGGTCTCCAAAAGGTAACATAATCAAATTCTTGCTTTCTTTTCTGACTTCATCATGTGCTCCCCTACTACAGCTACAGTGCTTTTCTCTCATTTCCTTAAATACATCAAGCTCCTTCCATTTTAGAGCCATTACTTCTGCCTGAAATATTCTTTGTCTATTTGTTCCATGGATCTCCACTTAAATTTTACCTCTGAAAAGGTACAAACCAAAAAGAAGGTCTCTTTCTTATCAATTACTCTCCATCACAGTATTCTGTTTCCTTTTTTGCACTTAAAATAATTTGCAAGTACAGCTGATTCTTGTTATCTGCAGTGGTTATGTTCTGTAAAGTCACTGCACTGAATTAGTGAATACTGAACTCCCAAAGGAAATATAGGGTTAGGTTCCTGTGAACCTGTCGTCAAAAACTTTTCACCAACTGAACATCACATGATTTTGTTTTATCTGTGTTTCTGTTTAATGATACCTATTCAATACATGTACAGTACTGATTCATGAACAGTGAATTCATGGCCAACAGTGCTGTAACTCATGCCTGAACAAAGCTTTGTTGCTGTTCACACTAAGCTATGTCCAACTCTTTGCGACCCCATGGACTGCAGCACACCAGGCTTCCCTGTCCTTCTCTATCTCCCTCAGTTTCTTCAAACTCATGTCCATTGAGTTGGTGATGCCATCCAACCATCTCATCCTCTGTCGTCCCCTTCTCCTCCTACCTTCAATCTTTCCCAGCATCAGGGTCTTTTTCAATGAGTCAGTTCTTCCCATCAGGTGGCCAAAGTACTGGAGTTTCAGCTTTAGCATCAGTCCTTCCAATGAATATTCAGGGTTGATTTCCTTTAGGTTTGACTGGTTTGATCTCCTTGCAGTCCAAGGAACTCTCAAGAGTTTTCTCCAGCACCACAGTTAAAAAGCAACATTCTTCGGTGCTCAGCCTTCTTTAGGGTCCAACTCTCACATGTGTACATGACTAATGGGAAAACCATAGCCTTGACTAGATGGACCTTTGTCGGCAAAGTGATGTCTCTGCTTTTTAATATGTTGTCTAGGTTTATCTAACAAGTATATTCTCTGTTAGAGACATCACAGCTTCTTGTGCGTAGCAAGACTACATAGCACTCTGGTATGCTTTGGGGCCATAAACAGTGGAGAGACCAACAACACACAAATATCCAAAAAGCACATGGCACCAAATAGACCATGAAAAAGAGATTTGTTTATAGTATGATAATTGAAATGAAAAGGTCAAACGTTGCCCTGTTCAGCTTCAGCTGGGAATGTGTGCATCCATTCTAATTTTTCGCTGCTCTGTGCATGTCTGTGAATGACTACAGAAGTGCAGCAAGTACTGATTACAGTTACAAACTAATGTTAGCAAGTACGTAGCTTCACACATTATGTCAGAGGCCAGGAGTGTTTGTCCTCTTAGCATCTGGTACTCAGTAGACATTCAATAAATATTCAAGAATAAATAAATGCATGAATGTCTAACAGGTATGTTGATATATAAACCTGAAGGTCAATCAAAGAAGCTTAAGATAAAATACAGGCATGTGAAATAATCACAGATGTGGTAAATGCTGGAAAAGAATTTAAACAAGGTGCTATATGATATGGGCTTCCCTGGTAGCTCAGGTGGTAAAGAATCTGCCTGCAAGGCGAGAGACCTGGGTTCAATCCCTGACTGGGAAGATCCCCTGGAGGAGGGGATGGCAACGCACTCCAGTATTCTTGCCTGGAGAATCCCATGGAGAGAGGAGCCTGGTGGGCTACAGTCCATGTGGTTGCAAAGAGTCGGACACGACTGAGCAACTAAGCACAGCTATATAACAGAGAATTATTGAGGAGACTTAATTAGGATGGTTCGGGAAGGTAATTCTGAAAACCTGACTCAAGCTGAGTGAGGGGAAAATTCCAGGCAGAGAACACTGGGTGTAAAGAAAACGGAACAGGAAAGTGTCTTAATGCCGAGAAAACACTTCCTATTAAAAGCTGAGACGAGAAGGTGGATACACGAACTTGTCAGTGCCTGAATGGCTTCATCGCAAACACCTCCCAAGCTCTCAGAACCAGTAACTTCAGTCAGTTTAGCACTTCCCAGAAACGGACCAAGGGAGTTACTTTCACTGAACTCTGCAGAACAACTTAAATGAAATGGACTTCAAGCCTCCTGACAGTCAAAGATGAGGATGGCACGGGGAATTAATTCACAGGGATAAGCCAAGTAAAAAACGTAAAGGGAGCTTTCCAACTTCCCCCACTCCCTAGACCCTTAATAACAGGGCCTGAATCCCTTTGTTTTATTCCTTCCCTTTGTGCTCACTCAGATTCAGTAAGTTAAGGGTATGTTTGTTCCTATTTTGACTATGCAATAAGTCTGCAAAACAGAAACAATAATCAAGGGCACAATGTGGGTTCTCTCACCCAGAGGAAGCACAATTGTGGGACCCTATGAGGACTAGAAAATTACATACAAGAGAGATACATTAATAAATTTCCCTTCGTGTAACAAGTACTGGGCAAAATTACTTTTATATATGAATAATTGCAGCAATAAACACTGATAAAGCAGGAGTAATGGCATCATTAGGAAGAGCCAAATAATTCAGGCAACAAACAGACCACCAGTGGTCCCCAGAATCAGCTTACTTCACCTTACTGAGAACAAACCATTATGAATAGATGGAAACCACAGGAAATGCTCATTTTCTCAAGATTTGTATGTTTATAGAGAGGTCAACTGCTGTGGATTCCAGGAGAGAATGTACTTCTAGGGTTTATGGTCCTGAGAGGATGGGCAATGGGTGAGTAATGGGAAATCAGAATAAAGGAGAAAAGGAAATGTCACAGTCAACACAGCCAGCACAGCAAAATGTTCTCTTGCTTATTCAGTATATAGAACACCTGTCCAAATACCTTTAGTGATGGAATTATCTCTTAACACGAGTTAAGAGTCAAAATGTGTTAAATCTGCCTTACATACATTGTGTTGCAACCCTCTGTGGAGGGAACCTGGGGAAACAGCAACACATGGCAAGTCTCCTCAACAAGACTGAGGTCCACAATTGGTAAATCAACTGGTACAGGCTACAATTAAGGATTTATCATAAAAACACTGCTATCATAATTAGGTTCTCAGGTCACCCCAAAAAATTCATTTAGCCCACTGCGCTGACCAGAAATACAGAACTAATACTTCTACTTGAAACAGCCAATTAAAAATTTTATCACTATTTCTACGAGAAAATGCAGTCCTAATTTACCACAGAGAAAGCAGTGAGTCCTTCGGAGGCACCGAAGCCCCATCCAGCAGGGCCCCTAAGGCGTCAGTGCGGCACCTTAGGGCACTAGGGTACTAATGCTCTTCTGCAGTGGCTATTTAAAGTAAAACTTAATGAAACATAATTAAGATTATGGTTCCTGACTAGCCACATGCAAAACGCTCAACAGCCACATGAGACTAATGGTGATCATATCTCTCTAGAAAGAGAACATTTCCATCATCGCAGCAAGTTCTAGACAACACCACTCAACATCTTTATGAAGGAAAGCATCTCAGAGCACCATAAAAGCGCTCTCTGGGAACAGATGGGAGTGATGACAGCACAACTGTGTGAATGTACTTCATGCCACTGAACCGCACACTTAGAAAGGGTTAAGATAGTAAATTTCATGTTACCCACCCCCAAAAGGCAGATTTCTCAGGTACATTCTCCCCTCATATTCCAAGCTGTGGCACAAAAGTGTGGCTAGTTACTAAAACGAATCCCCGTCAACTGTGGGGCTCACCAAAGCCAAGAATCTGTAAGTGGTTCTAAACATATGAAAAAAGGCTAATGCCTGCAGTCCATGTACAGGACCACTCCCCATGCTCTGGTTTTGAGATTTCACATATCCTTAGTAGGATCCATCCACATTGTATTTCAACAGCATTGTTATTAGATTGTTCTCAAATCCACCCTCCCCAACACACACACACACAATTTCCCCCTTCAGAGATGCTAATCCCTTGGCACTAACGTCGGTGCCACCATTACATCCTGTCGGCTTTGCATACATGGGAATACAGATGGGAAATGATGGATCAATACTGAAAAAAGGTGGGGGGGTGGGAGGGAGGCTCAAGAGGGAGGTGATACACGTATACTCCTAGCTGATTCACAACGCTGTACAGCAGAAACCAACACAACTTTTAAAGCAATTATCTTCCAATTAAAAAGAAATTTAAATTTTTAATTAAAAATACTGGAAAAAAACAGCTCAAATCAACAAGAGAAATAAGATGGGGTGGAGAGAAACACCAAAACCCCACAAATTCCATTCTTTAGAAGTTCAAATTAGAAATGGTAAATCAGTTTGCTGGACAGAACAAGGGCAGCAAAAGTCTTGTGTGGGGGGGGCGGGGGGTGGGGTTTGACGAAGGCCCCAAGGTAAGAATAGCTCAAAATCTCAGCAATGTGATCTACAATTGTTTTTATTATTCAACTACAAACCTCGGTGCTCCCTCGGTTATGAAATCTTACTAAAAAACCCGGCTTTAACCTATGGTGGGGGGGGCGGGTTGCCCATTTGGAACATATTTGATACATGCAGTGACTTCTAAGAACACAACTCTCCACATAAGCAATGGCTACCCACCCACAGGTCCAAGAATAAAAGTGGAGCCATCTGAATCAGAGCCAACTTTATCACATATTTCCATCTTGGGTTTTGATTTAGCATGTTCTTTTATATAGAGAGAAATGCTAATAACAACTTTATCAACCATGCTTAGGTCTTATACACTGAATGTTCTGTGGTTCTGATAAAATACCCACACGTCAACCTTTCCAGTCTGACTGAACAACCTGCCTTTGACAGAAGCCGACTCCCCTGAAACGGCATCATACGTGCGATGTGGGTCTGACTGTGACAGTATAGCAATGCTCTCAGATGGACTGCTGGAGGGATACTGGACCTACCAGCCCTTATCCCAACCACAAACCTTAAACGTAAGAGCTACTTGCAAATTCCCATTCATGACAAAGTTCCTGTGAAGTCTGTCTGTTAAGACAGAGTAGGACAAACTTAAAGCCTTTTTTTTTTTTTAAGAATTCAAGAGAAGAGTTTAAGATACACATTACCCCACAGGTCTCATCTCATCTGCTGTACACAGTGGATCAATACACCACGCACAAGTTTTGGCATCAGACAGATATGTTTCAAATCCTGGCTCCAGCAATTACTAGCTGTATAACTTTCAACAATTAATCTCTGAGACTCAATTTTCACATTTTAAAGATGAAAATAATAGTACCTTGGTTTTATGGCTGTAGTAAGATAACATATGTAAAAGACTGACATCATGTCCAGCAAAAAAAAAAAGGCTTTTAGAAACTTCTCTGCATGACTGCCACCGCCCACTCCAGTCAATCACCTCTCCAGTTTTGCTATATATTCAGCACTCAAGTCACATAGTCCATCCTCAATAAGTGGTCACTATTATTTTTACAGTACTATGCATCTCATCCAAACTAGCCCTATCCCCGGACCTCACCTCTGCTACTTTGCAGATTCACTCACCCCATCTGCTCACTAATTATGGCACCTCAGAGCACACTCTTCAGCCAGCAAAGCCCCTTCCTCTCTCCACATAGCACCCTGACACCCCCCCAATAGCTGACTCGGCAGTGCCTGCTAATACTGGGTCAGTTTCATAGAGGTCTAGACTGACAATCTGTACTAAAATGACATTAGAGCATGTGTTCATACACACACCTTCCAAGATGATTTTGCACAAAGGTTCACTGTTAATCATTTTTAGAAAAACATTTCACTAAGAAATTCTAAACTACCTTCCCTAGGACTTCCGAAAGTGTAAAACAGGATAAGGAAATTCCAGGCCCGAGACCAGACTTACAAATGGCTTAAATTTCATGTAATCCAAGACAAAGCTTCTAAAGCCACATGGTTTCTGCTTTAAAATCAACATATCTAATAATGCATGTATCTGAAAAATCTCACCATCTTTCCAAAACCGTCCTCTACCCTTAGCATTTGATTCTGACGTCACTTCTCAAATTAGGAGTCATGAGCACCAAAAAGAAATCAGCTTCTGATGAGTGGCTGTAATGATGGGTGGCTAAGATGGCAGAAAAGATACTGGCCAGTTGTCATCACACAGCCCTGTATCTTGCTAATTCAGGTCACCCACACTTGTCACCTTGAGTACTCCCATCATCTACTTGGCTCTAAAAGAAGTCTGGGCCATGTTAATTCAAATTTTCATTCTACCTAGTGTGACCAAAACACATGCTGAATACTAGGTCCACATAATGAGACTGAGTCCCTGTACCAGTGCCATGGGCAGCTATACCAAAGACCCACCAGAGGCTAAGCCAAGTCCTCCTGAATTAGTATATTCATCTTGCCCACATGTAGACTCAGGGCTGCGTAAAGAGGATAAGCTTTATGGCTATACCCAAGGATCAAGCCACAGAAAAGGAGATAGGACAGATGGAAATAAGGAAGTTGATCTCAATTGGGCTCAACAAGGGTCTATGTCAAAGCCAGCAATGAGAATGACTGCACATTTCAAGCCAATCAAGTCCACAGTATGGAACCAAGGAGGAGGGAATCATTCATGGTTCTTTCAAAGGCACCAGGGGCTGAGACAGGTGTGGGAAGCATAGCAACAGGATAGATATCAAACATGGTTCAGGCAAAGGAAAGCTGGCCTAGAGCTACTTAGAGATGGTAGAAATACTAAATACCAAGACAGTATTAAGACTTGGGTGGCTATTACTGGGGAGCATTTATCAGGGATAAAGCACTAAAACAGAATGTGAGCTACCTCACCAGGAACATAAAATACTAGAGGACAACAAGAATCTGCAGTTTCTTAGGGAAAAGCTATTCAAAATCAGAATTCTATGTCCAGCAGTGATCATTCAAGTGTATGGACCAAAACAAAGTCATTTCATTCAGGGCATTTAAGGGTATAAAATAATCAGCCCAATTCACTTTTACTGGGGCAAAAATAGAGACTGTAGTCTGATAACATAAAAAATAAGAATAAAGATTCAAAACAGGTAAGAGAAAATCAGAAAAACAGAATTAGACCAGAATAATTTTTTTTTCAAAGAGAGAATACACTTTTTCAATGTGCATAGAACCTTTCTGAAAAATGATAATGCAATATGCTAAAAATAAACTCTCAAAGTTCCAAAACCCCCAAATCATATACAGGCCAGGGAATTCCCTGACAGTTCAATGGTTAAGACTCAATCCACACTCTTATCGCTGAGGGCCTGGGTTTGATCCCTGGTTGGGAAACTAAGATCCCTTAAGTCATGTGGCATGGCCAAACAATAAAATACATTAAAAAAAAAAAAATAGAGATCCTATTTATGATCAAAATGTAACAAAACTGAAAAGTATCAAAATAATCAAAATAAGAAGCATTTTAAAAATACTATCTTAAATAATAGTTTATAATTTAGAAATACAAGACCCTAAGACTATCACACATTAAAACACAAGGAGAACAGGCAAACTAATGGACCCAGAAAGATGACTGTCTTATCTGCTTTTATTAGAAAAAAATGTTTCAAAAGATTGAAAATTTTAAAAATTAAATATTAAACTAACAAGCTTGAACATGATACAAGAAAATAGAAGGAAGAGATTATAAGGTAAAGGAGAAATTAACAGAATCGAAAACAAAACAAAGGAGGAGACTGCAACTTAGCAAGTTACATCGTAAGGGAGAATAAAGATCAAATATAAACATCATTTAGTAAGCACCTCCTAGCTCCAGGTACTG